TTTCATTTCCCAGATTCTGGACTTTATCTATTGACCGGTTTTGATTTTTATTTTAATCTATTTTGAATTGCGTGACACTGAAAACCAGCAATTGATCTTGTTATACTGATGCATGTTGATTCACTGGTTCTTTTATCTTATGTCAAGCAATCTTTTCCACACAATTCATAAATGACGAAGTGACCCTAAACAAAATTGATTGCTTTTGTTAAATTTCGACTCATCCTTCGGGCTTGTCAAAATACAGCGGCGCAGCCTCTCAAAGACTGTATACAACAAAACAGCCAATACGATATATACATTGAATAAGGGAGGGGAGGGCAAGGAGAGAACTGTCATTTGGTTAATAACCCGTGAACACCACATCAACGACGTACTTTCTACAGCTTTGTCTCAACAGGTTTTGACTGAAAGTGTATGGAAGGAGAGAGTGCAAACCAAACAAAATCACGTAGAAGCTACAATGGCCCAGAAAACGTTGTACCATTAAGTGCAAAAGCCAATATCATCTGGCAGTCTGTCAAAAAGACATCCACAAACATCAGAGGCGTCACTGGTGAATCTTAGCTGAGAGTTTTCACAGCACCAATAGCTCAAATGAATAAACAAGTTGAAGGACAAATGAGAGGCTTTTAGTTAAACTAAAAGATGAGTTTGGTTATTTCACTTATCAGTGCCGAGTAAATATTCGATCTAATTTTAATAACAGGTAAGTTGATTTTGGTTGTGGAAATGTGGAAGTTTTGGAAAACAAAAACACTATGATCTGATACGACCCCATAAGCATTTAGCTTCTACACGTCAACCTCTAAAAAGGTTATCTATGGATGGATTATAGAGCAACAAACGTCGATGAGTAATGTGAATAATGAACGCATCAAGTCTGTAAATGCATTTCGATCAAATTCTTATTTATCTGTGCAAGGCTAGGCGAGGTCTAAAAACAACAACAGAACTCACTTATTTTATGCAACCCAGAGATAAAAACTCAGAACAATACAATTTGTTTGCTTCGATGAAACATACTTGCCATAGAATAAGGAAATATTACAAAGTTCTGCAGAAATAAATAGTTTGCCCGAATTTCGAGGAAAATACTGTTAATTCACAGTACTTAGAAATGGTAGCATGCGTTGCGAAGTTGATGTTACTTTCCCGGGCCTTCTTTTAAATTCTAGGTTAGAACGATATTTATTTTCTTTTATCATTATAACAACTGCTATGAAAGATGTAGTTTAAATGTTATAAATTTAGGTTGTTTGGTTTCACAGATGTAAAAGGACATATTGGATGTGATCATCCCGCTGACGAACCTGCCTGAAATATACTAATTAACTACAGGAGCTGACTCGAAACTTAATAGTTAAACTTAAATAGTTTTCACATGGCTGAATAAAACTGAAACGCTTGTGTGTTCATCGTACAGGGTCTCATATAACCGGAACATTCTAATATTTATTTAGTACTACTTGTTTTATGTTTATCGATTGCATCACGGCTGTCGGTTTTAACAGAACCGTCGGTTTTAACTCGAGCAAGGACTTGCTATGAGTCTGTTTTCCCAACAGCTCTTCCATTCTACAGGGGCGTGTTTATGACTCTAAGAAGCTCAACGAAAACAAAGCGATAACTTTTAGTTGAGTCATTATAACATGACAATATGTTCAGCAAGAGCGGATATCACTGATGAATTACCAATTGATGTAGCACAAACTCAACACGTACACAGTTTGTTCTTCCTCATTCCATTGACATTATTTAAGACAATATTACGAAGGCAAAGATGTTGGAAAATTCTCAGTTCTGTTAGTATTTTGTAATCTATCTGTCCTCGAAGATCTAACAACGTGCCTGAATGTTTGAAAATAAACAAGTTTACCATAACATTTGGGTGTGTTAGCCAAGAACCCTCAAAAGGATTTCGGATCAATACACATGACCTTAGAGAATGTTTTCGTGTTTCTTCTATTTCCAATCTCCAAATAAAGTTAAGTCTCATATAAACATAATTATCTTTCAAAGCTTGAAATATTAATTCTTGCAGTAACACTTCTTCGATGTAAACCGTACTTACTGAACTGGTTCCATGGATCTATAAATACTGTGATTTATTTGTTTTGTTTGTTTTGTTTTGGTGTTTCTTTCACGATGCATCAATAGGAATTGTCAATTCATTGTTAGATTTCACACAATGACATAAGCAATTAATGAATATCCTGGATTACATGCAAAGAACTATATGAAACGATTTTTGTGTTTTGTGTTTCAGTTCACATGTAAAGTTTAGTTGTAGTCATACTCTTCCTATAAATTTACTTATTTAGTTTTACGTCTTGACATATTTGTCTTCTTCAGATGTATACATGAATAGTATTGTTCATTTCATTGTCAAATTACATGCAATGACTAAGGCACGTACTAAATTAAAAATATAAGATTATAAGTACAGAAATACTTCAAACGAATTTTGATTGTTTTTTTTAGTTGGAAATTAACTAGCTTCCACACAGTGACTTTTAATCTGAAACAAACGCAGTAATTCGGTGTGGAAATAACTGTTCTTTCTGCACCTTTATTAATGCAGTACTTCCAATATGTCAATTAATATCTCAAAGTAGCCAAGCTAAATGAAAACTTTACTTTTCTATACAGATTGTACTCACTCTCTTGACAAATTTCCCGACTTTACGAGAGTCATTTTAGCACATGCATAGGCAACTGGCCTAGCTTCTCATATTTAGAGTAATCTAAAGTTATATTTTACTACTATTCCTAAACTATGACAGACCCTATACAACAGGCTTCTGGCTTCTTTTATTTCTAGTTTCCTTGAATGTTACTCTGCTTACGGCCAAACCTTGGTGTATATCTTGCCAGTCACACTGCATCTGATACTTTTAAAACTGTAACTGGTTACTTGAACTGATTTGTATTAATTGTATTTAAAACTTTATGTTTCCTAAATCATTGCGACACCATCACTCTAAACTGCCCTCCAAGATAAAAAAAAATATTTTGCAAGTTACCATTTCATCCTAGCTCAGTAGTTCTCAACTGTGACTAGTTCACATAACGGACTTCCAATAGCTTCTAAAATCTGTTTCCAATGTGAAATTTTGCCATTCTTACATTCAGACAGCTTGCCAGACATGTGACATTAGCGTGTGACATTCAGCAGTTTCGTGAATCATGCACAGACAGTAACACTAAAGTACAACTGCTTTGTCTGGTACGGAGTCTTCCTTAAAGTTTAGTTGAAGGATTTAAAAATGCCTTCAGCTGGCCATCATACACTTTTACGTTAGTTCTCTTTAGGCAATGCATTCTTAGTTTCTCTAATTCAACCATGTGTAAAGCACTGAATGTTCGTTTAACGCCTCATTCTTGTGGGCTTTAGCTCAGTTGAATAAACTGATTTTACTGTTAAAACCAAATACTTAGCATTATTCACTAAATCTTATACTTTGTGAACTATACCTGTTCGCAGGGCCTTTAATAACCCTTGCTCACCCTTGTTCATTCACACTTATGTCAAGAAGTTTTAAAGAAACTTTTAGCTTTCCATACCTCCATCTAAATAACCAGACATTTTTCCAATCCGTTCTTTAGTCTTAACATTTAAGTGTGCTTCATTTAATTTCATTCTGGTTAAAATTACAACAAATGCAATCTCCACCTCTTTGATCTGTGCCTAGCCAAGGAAACTGACTTTCTTTTCAAGATGGGTTTAACCTTGTTATTCTAGGGCTCATCCTGCCCTATACAAAGTCTTTAACAGAGTATTTCTCTGAAATGGACATTATAATCGGCTTCTCGTGTCTTCAAAGTATTAGAATAGCGTTTTTTGCCAGTCACACTTTTCCTTGACGTTCTCTCTGTTTCTACAACACCGAAAAATTCATGTGTTCAGCTGTTGCAGACAACATGTAAGGTCTTCAACAAAACACGAGAAAGTTTATGTAATTTTGGTGAGGAAGTCTTCTAGTTATCAGTAACAGGTTATAAACAGGTTATATTAAGGCGACGAGTTAAACAAGAATAGAAATTCGTCAGTAAGATTAACGTATAATCAGGTTTGATATCAGAAGTTATGAACAGTTCACAAACATTTCAATTTTTACACCTTTGAATAGAATCATGACTAATTCTCCTTTTCTTAGAACTGACTGATATTTATCAAAGATCGTTGTAGGAAAAGACTGTTAAAATATTATCAAATACATGTATTTTCGTTTATCTTAAGTAAGCAAGTGAAGCAATTTCGGTGCTTGGAACAGTGTGACACTTTTCCAGTCACAGCCATTGTACTGTTGTTATCAGTCAGAAGGTGAATTAAGGCGAACTGAATGGAGTCCACTGAAATCTTATTGCCTCTTATGACGAACATTACGTTTAAAAGTGAACATACATGGTATATGACGATGTCTGCCGGATTTCTAAAACGAAAGTTGGGTCTGTCTTAAAGTTTGTAGTATGCTGTATAGAGACATCATGTGTAATCTCTACCTCTGTGTTAAGGTTGAGTTATGGTCAAAGTATCGACTGGATCGGCGACGAATCCAATAAGTTCTTTACGTAAGCTTAAGTCTATGTAGGACTATTTTTAATACAGACCATTTTACTTAAAGGCGGAATTATGCTCGAAGTATTTTCAAGTACGATCATGGACCTAACACTAACTTTCCGGTTTAATAATTTGTTCGCTATCAAGGTTTAACAATTAGGACACCAACCTATTGTGAATCACACATATTGCGAAATGAGTGTGTTAAGAAAGCAGTGGTTTACATTTTCTTCTTAAAATGAACGATCTTGGGCTTCTTAAGATAACCACCCAATTGAAAGGAAATGTAATGGTTAAATCTAACGGAGACGAGCTTATCATACTAGCAGTATCAAATATAGAAACATTGTAACACAGTGCACTTCAGTTCGCTTCAGGAACGGCGTGTTTAAGTTCGACTCCCTTAATGTTATTGCAGATTGTCTCAGCTCGTTCTTACCGAGTAAGACCAGTTTAAAATAGAACAGCAATTTATGATAACCAAGCACACAATTCACGATCAAAGTTGACTTAACTCACCAAGGTTCAACTGGCTTTGCAATGATATTCGGCTTTGAAAGGATGACAGTGACATTGTCATATCGGAAGGGTAACTGAAAATTGAAAGACCTAAACAGACATCGAATAGAAGTTACTCGCAAACTCGTGACTGATGACTGACTTGGTCTCGAGGGAGACGCATGCCTCGTTCAAACTCTATCTGTAACACAGAGAGACAGACATTTCTACTGGCAGAATCCGCGGATTATAGGTAAATGGCAAATTGTCAATCGGAAATGAAATCTTGTGACCAGCATCAAACTTCCAAATCCGAGAATTTCAAAAGGGAATATTTGTGTAATAGTGATTTTTTGACATGAATTGCAGTTTCCTTAACTGGCCAAGAGAAAAGCGAAAGCACAGAGACGAGTTCAACATCTCTCTTAGATCTGGGAGTGGCTGATATACAGTGCTCTACCTTAATTTGTTGGGCGTAAATAATAACAGTATCTGGCTTGCGAGTATCCATTAAAACATATTAAATATTATAGTGCAAGCCAAATAAAGCAAGAGTAGAATACAGCTCAGATTTATAGCTTGTTAGAGGTACATCATTCAGGCAAAACTCGAGTCAGTTACTCAAATAACATTTGCGACTAATAAGTATGCCAAAGCATGTCTGAATTCGAATCTACCAATGGACTGAATTCTTACTTAAGCAACCGTGTTCCTTTTCACCTCAGTGAATTTATCTTGGAAGAAAACTACTCCTGCGGACTGAAGGACAACAGTTTTAGCCGCTAAAGAGATTAGTTAGGAACGTAGTTAAATTCGGCGAACGGAAACCGGGTCAGTTTCGGTAGAACCGGCTGTGGAGTTGATTTTGCAAACACTAACATGAATGAATACCCATCGATAATCTTCGCAAACGTTAAACCTTCTTATCTTACACAAACTCAAAGCACAAATGCGTAAATTGACAGCATAATGTCTCCCCAAAGAAAACTTGTATGCGCAGTTGTCCCAACAATGTGTTTGATGACTGTGTTTTTCAAAGCCGATCGCTCGACTCATTAATCAGGATTACCAGGCCAGTGTTGTGTTGTATTTGCGACAACAAAAGCTAGTCTGCGTTCAAAGTAAAATCGAAATTCAATCAGCGTTTAAGGAAGCTACAACGAAAACGTGGATTGAGGCGAAAAGGGAGATTCCCAGCTCGAGAACAGCGTTCAAATTTACGCGGTCGTCATGCGGCTTGCAACTGTCGATCGGATATCATTGCGTGGGTTCAGTATATAAACGACAAGGGAAAACGGTAAAACAAAACCTGTTTTCAACGGGCTGAGGGCCTCGTAAAACTAGCTCAAATACCGTGCCAAGTTTTTATTTTAGCTTTATATGCTCTGATTCGGTAGTATATTAACCATAAGCAATTCCAAGCTGAAAACACTTGTTATGGCTTCGAAGAACGCCAAGTTGTTATCGAAAACACGGAAGTGGAATCAAAGTCTTATGCTTTCATTCACCGCGTAAATTTTCATCCTGTCGTTATCGCGCTATGAAATTAGTATATGCCACAAACATGAGCATATTATAATTACTTACCTTGCGTCTCACTCGAACAGAGAGCGATGTTTCTGTTGTCTTCAAAACAGAGCTTCTCCGGAGTAAACCCATCACAGTGTTTTATCGGTTGCTGATAGCGGCTCTGGTCGAAGGTCGCTGGTCCTCCATGACAAAGATTCGTCCCCCAGTACGCTGTCCCATGACTCAAACTGTACTGCTGCAACTCCATGTGCTTCTCAGAGAAGGTTCTAGTTCACGAGCGTTTTTCCTGTTTGCTCTGCAGTCCTATTGTTACCAAACTCAGCCAATGCTATTCTGTTACAATTGCTTGAAAAGCGACAATGACGTTCGCTGTCTCTACAGGTCGTTACTTTTTCCGCTTTACTTGAAGCTAATCTTTGTACTGTTCGCTTTTGAAACGCCTAGGAAACTTTGTACTTTGGAAGAGTAGTAGTACTTAAGATTGGAATAACGCAAATGCTCAGCCTTAATTCGCTTTACAAGTCCAACCTGACTGAACGTTTGCTTGGCGTAGTAACTTAAACGTAGATCGATTCGATTCGTAACGTTCAGCTTCTAACTTTCAAAAGTGGTTGTAAACTTTGAACGAAACAATCTCAAGCAACAATACAAATATCAACGTTGCTAGTAAAACATAAACAGCTTAGCTCAGGTTAAAAATACTTGTAAACAAAGCAGTAACGAAGTCCTTTTTCATTCACAAGTGCCTTGAACAAAGCGGGAATATCAAAAGTCCTTGTACGTGGAGTATTAAAAACGTTTCAATTGACTTTTTGGTGATTCTCTTCGAACTCATCACAGAAACCATTTGTAGACGATGAACGAAGCCGATCCAAGATTCTGAGTGCTGCAATAGAGCGTAACGTTTTCGCCAAATTGTAACTTCCGCTCTTTCTCAGAAAAATGGTTCAGACGCTATTGACTGTGACTCTTCAATATCAGCCTGCCCCAAAGGCCAGTGATTTGAGGTGAGATATAAAAAACACCAGCTTGAATTGAACTACTGTTCGCTGTTCGCAGAGAGGAGCGTATTTGAGTGTTTTGCGCACTATGCAAAATTTGAGTGTGAATTAAATAACGCGTTACTCGTCTGAATTTAAAGCATGAAGCCATTTGTAAATCACGAGATGGATTTGATAGTCACGCGATCCACGAGTTTACATTCGCGCTTTTGCAGTTCGAAGATACCTTGTTACATAAACAAGCAATTCTCATTATCTGAAAACTGTTCCCTCTTCTCTTTGTGTTGATTTGATTTTAACTTTGCTCAACACTACGGCGCCACTGAGTGTTTGTATCTGTAAAATATTCTTTATCTGAGACTTCGTTACCGTGGGGCAGCGGCCAAAGCAAAACCCGGAAGTAACGATGAACGTAACACATGGACAACACGCGCCATGTGTGTTTCAAAGGTTTGTGGACGGCCTCGTGCGTTAAAAGGGAATTCCCCGTAACCAAAACAAATAATTACTCACGTACGACGCATCTTTACGTTTCAGATCGTACAGTTACCATTTTCTGTGATTTTAACCTCTATCAGGTTTCTTTGAAAGGTCGAAACTTCTACAGGGCTCAATTTTCCGTAGTCAGAATGAAATTTCGATGAGTGAATTTTCGTTTATAGCAATTTCCACTTTACATATTCAGCTGAAATCTCTCGATTTCAGAGAAAAGGTTGCATAACTAACAATCACACGGACTCATGCATGCGATGAAAGCGTGTGCCATACGGTCTCGTGTTTCAATGTTTGTAAATAGAAATTTGTAATGAGACAGTTTCAAGCCTGAACATAAATTTTTCAGAAACAAAGTTGCATAACTTCTATCGCACGAGTAAAAACGTGTCTTAATTGATCTCGTATTTCAATGTTTGTAAATAGAAATTTGTAATAGGACATTTTAAGCTCCTCTTAAGTCGCGCCATCCATGTAACCTACATTTTCAAAAGCTTTTCCCTAAATCTTGCTGGCATATCTCAATAGCGAATTTGATGGCAGCGTAAAGTTTTTCGAGCACTCGAATAAAGAAAAGATTTCTTAAAGATGATTTCCAGTCCGTACTGCACATTCTCAACACTCTAATGTTTATAAACATTATAATGGCTCACTCGATGGAATGCGAATCGATGTTATTCGTTACGANCTTTTCCCGTGCAACAACCAAAGTGTAAACACCACAAAATAATCAATATCTGGTAGCACAAAGATGTTTATTCCTAAATAAAGAAAAATTTCTTCGGCCGGTTCAGTATATTTTATGACTAGTCAAGTCAAAACAATGTCGAAATAATCAACCGTGAAAATTTAAATCTCTTGTCGAAATGTTTTCGAAAATATTTTACCATATTCTGAACAAAGCTTACGAAGGAAAATGCTTTTCACTTCTTTTGGAAGTCTAGAAATTTTAACGTTAGAAATGACAAAGGAAAACAAACATGTTTTACAAAGGCGCCACGAGAACTGTGTATAACAAGGCACGTTTTTAATACTAATTGATATGCAAATATAATCATCCTTGTTAACAAATTTGTTCCTGGTCCGTTTTGGTTATGGTTGTCACAAAATTGTTGGCAGCCATTTAAATCTTAAAAAAAATATAATTGCAATAGCTAATTTTAAATGTTCACTTTGTGGTAGATGTACTAAAAGTTCTCTTTTTGGAGGTCATTGGTAGACAATTGCTCAAAAACTAGAGATAGCAGAATCGACTTTGATTTGCAAATGTTCAAGTAGTTACAGAACAGAAACAGGTTTTAAATTTTCAGTCGAACTCCGCAGGCCTGAACTCGTTCATACTTTCAAGCTGAAAACATCAACTCTCCTCAACGATTGCCTTACTTGGTCTTACTTGTAGTCCTGAGAATTTAGTAGCACATCAAGACAATAATTCCTAGTCGATGATTTTGTTCATCACTTTCGCTATACTTGTCTGCTTTTTTTAAAACACCTTTTATAAACCAGATATTGATCTTAAAGGAATGGTTAACCTTTCAATATCTAGAGGTTAAACTAACGTTGACTCGTCTTTAAGATGGCACTTTCTGAAATTAAGAGTGGTAGTACGTCCAATAACCTGAAGATATTTTCAATTTATTTTAAAGTAGCTGTGGTACAACAATGTGCAAGAAAAGCTTTGATTTACAGCGAAAGACAACTATCTCGGTAATTACAATAAAGATTCTCAATGCAGTTTGTAATCTCTGAGAAATTTCCCTTATTCCCAAAACTTTCGTTACTATTGGGAAATCTTCGGAAGTCTTCGGAAATTTTGGAGTGATCTCCGGAATTCTAACGTCGGCCCACCGATCTTCGGCGATCTTCGTTTTTGGCCAGAGTCGAGTGTGTTTAAGGTTGTTGGACATGTTTGCAAGTAGTTTTCATTGTTCAATTGTGTAGTCATTTGATTAATTTAGATTACCATCCGTACTCTTTCAAGAGTAATTTTCATGGTCCTGGCATTATGAGTTTGACGCTCGATGACAGTTTAATTTTAATAGCAGCAAGACAATTTAATTTGTTACAGAATTATTTCGTTTGTTCCAAAATATATTTTTCCGTTTCACGCTACAGGCATGCGGTCACACAATACATCTTCGAGATTATATTTGATCTGAAGAGAATAAAATGTGTGATTTTTATTCTAGCAAGATAATTTATTTGCTGTAGAGTTAATTTCGTTGTTGCCAAATATATTTTGTTGTCGTACAGGCCATTTAAATCTCCTCTTGCCTAAAAAAAAAAGAACTGAAAAATCAATGTTACATTACTTCGTCGATTCCGAAAAAAAAAACGCATGCGTTTTGATCACAAAAATCAAAAAAAAATTTAGATGGTGTTGCCAAATATAGTGCCACCTTAAAAACTCAACGTTGTTTACCAACTTAAAATATTTCGTGAAATCATATCGACCAAAATGGTGGCTACCAGAATCGCGACCTCGGATTAATTACGGCCCAAGGTTAGCTATTGAAAAATATATAGCAGTCTTTCGAAACAAATAAATACCCCGACTTTTTCTACTAGAAAAAAACCCTCGACAACTAATCCTTACAACGCAAGCGTCAAATATATTGCCACCATTTTGATTGAAAGTTACGAAATTAAAATTCTTATCTCGTGGTCATTTCCAATGTTGAATATAACCATTTGAACTCCTCGTGAATTTCAATTTCTTCTCAATTTCGTACGCCGGATCATATACCAATGAATTCCATCTTCGCCGTTAGGCCATTTTCTGTCCTTAAAAAGAAGACAATAAAGAGAAACATAAGCTTTTTCTCGGGACAAATGTATTCCCAGGATACACTATTACAACTAGGGCAAGCAGCGACGAAAGCTCGTATGAACCAGCTGCACGTGGTAACGGTTTTCAACTTTCCGGGAGCAACACGCAACGAGAAGAACAGGAAATATCAAACAAATTCAGCGCACATCTTCCAAACTTGCACAAAGATTATCTCTTAACCCTTTGCCGACTGAAACATTTCATCTCAGTGATTGCAAAACTACGACTATCTGGAGTCTGAACGAAGATGTGTGCAGGACTGCGAGCGAAGGGTGGAACTTAACTTTCGGAAAGTAAAAATTGTTCCGTTTGGTGAAGGGCAAAAAGATTAAAACATGCACTCACCATTAACATTTAAATACTTGTATCTCGTCGTGCTCTATCTTCTTCTAAGGAAGAACAAGGCCAGATGCGACATCACCAGGAACACATAAATCCACGTCTTCACGCTTTGACCAAGTGTTTGGTTTGACGCAAGTTGCACAAGTAGTCATGAATATTGATTACAGACTAGAACCAATCTCTGACTAAATCGTCGCTGCATATTTTCATGACTTGGATTTTAATTCTTATGCAAAACTATTGTATCACTTCAAAAACATCACATCTTTCCATTTTTAGGCTTTATTAAAACAGTAACACGTGAAATTAAAATACATTTGTAAAGACTGACTCACGCGGCCGTTATATTTCGTTAAATAAACCTTTTCTGGTAATCTCATAAGTCGATTTTTGCAGGTTTTCAAATATCCCGTGCTAAGACCTGGTGGCCTACGAATCAAAGCTTATAATAAAGTACAAGCTAGAAACTATTTAAAAAGAAAAGAACTACTTGAATTAAACTGGTTTTAAAGTCTGATATTTGCATAACTTTATTACTTTTAAATGTTGTCATTTAATGAAGGCATTGTAACAAAATCGAGGTATTTTCGTTGGAAATCATGGGCTCCCTTGTAGATCCCAACTACTTTCCAATTGCATTCACAACCCCGTGGGCTTTTCACAATACACTCCGGATCCGGCTTGTGCATTTCCTCTTACTTTTCTCTTTCCGTTTCTTCTTCTAATCCCTGCGCTTCCCGCCACACGCAAAGTCGTTTATTCATCCATGGGTCTCCCTCACTGACATCCGTGAACTCCTAGTGGAATATAGTTGTGCTCGTCCATTATGTCGTGACCTGCCTGCGTTATGCGCCTCACGTGCATTGTCGCGGGTGTTCTGCGTTTGGTTATGGCTTCCCTCAGTTGTGCTTTCAGATACACAGCCCCGTGCGTTAGCCGCGAGTACCCGGCGAGTTCCTTGCGATGTCGCTCATACTTTTGTGGTGAGTTTTCCAATGTCTTTGCCTATTTGTTACAACGTAGGTTTCCTCTTGCATTTCGTCATCTGTTTCTCTATGCATTCTTCGCGTGCATTCTATTTCCCTTGCGTTTCTCAATACGCAACCCCATGCGTTCCCCTCGGTTTCATGGTGAGGTTTCTCATACGTCCCCAGTGCATTTACCGTGGGTGCCCCTATGTGTTTTCCCGCTCGTTGCACCACGCGTTTCCTGTCAGTTCCCTCTTACATTTCCTGTGCATTTACCGTGGGGTTCCCTAAAGTCTTTCTTGTCCGATACTCCGTGCATCCGTTGTGCGAATTGCGCAATTAATCTCGGTTCCCCATGCGTTCCCCATGCGTTCCCCGTGCGTTCCCCGTGCGTTCCGCGGGTGTTTCCTCGTGTCTTCAGTCATGTTCCCTAATGTTTTCCAATGGATTTCTCGATGGTTTCCCGGGTGGTCCCTGCAATATTCGATGAACCTTCCTTGCGTGTGACACCGCGGCGTCGGTTTGCTCACTCATGACACAGCGCTTTTCATGTGCGTTCACTCGTGTGCTTCCTCGCACGTTTCCTTTTGAAATTTCCGTACATGTCCTTTGCTCCCCTTTGAATTTCCTGTGTTCCGCCGGCGACTTCTAATGTTCCCCAGGGGTTCCCGATCGGGTTTTCTCCCAGTACCTTAGCCGTACATTCGTTGACCCTTGTGTTCCTTCACAAATTTACTTTCGATCTTTTTAAGCGTTCCCTTTGCATTTCGTGTCCGCTCGAAAAGCTGCCTGTTCCCAGGGCGTCTTACAACGCAGTCAGTCAGTGAAAAAACGAGGCATGGATTAAGAGAAAAATTCAAAAAGCGTAAGATAAGCGCTTCGAGGTGAAATGGATCTGAAATCTGAAATCTGGTGAACTTTATCTCGCTCAAAGGCAGCAAAACATTCCATGACAGAATTTTGGTAAATGTATAGGATGGTGTGAAACTAACAAATGCGACACTTTTCATGTATTGTGCTAATTGTGCTAATGATTAAAGGAAAACGAATCGAACTCTGGTATAGCCCTTGCCTAGTTAGTTCCTGTCGGGCTTTCTCCTAGGTCTTCACGGTCGATTGATTTCGGTGACGTATCCGAGACGACACTTTTCGCCCCAGAGCACGTGACCCGAAACGGTTGACCGAGACGAAATATCAAGGCCTAGGAACTCGGAAAGTATAACCCTATCAGATGACGACAGCGTTCAAGTGTGCTATTCTTGGTAGAAGTGGGAAGCTACTTAGTTCCACTTGATTGCGCTGAGAGTTTAAGTGAGCAGAGAGAACACTTTTTTTCTTTATAATCATTCCCATGGGACCACGTCATACTGAGACACTTAAAACATTTCGTTGATTGGCCGTTATGAATTAAAGTAACTGGGATTACCGTCTAATGAGGCGCATAATTCAAAAGGGGACATCGGAAACTAATTTTGGAAATAAAGTCCTTACTTGTTATGGCAAATAATAATGATGCATTATATTGTAAAAATACAATGATAAAGTTGAAATGCAAATGAAGAGAGTGGTACAATTGAACCGACCGTGAACATAAAAGATATGTAAAAAACTCCAGGTGTGGAAGAGTTTGTTGAAAAGGAAACTGCGTCACCAGAAAACAGTTTGGACAAGACATAACAGAGAGAGGTTCACCCGCTGAATTAGGTTGTAAACTTAAGCCAAAACTGAATAAGTTCAGTAAGCGATGAACTCGACCCAGCTAAGCGTTGAAATGGGACCGCCTTTTTGCCCAATTCACGTTTCCCTAGGAAGAAGACTTCCACCTTCTGCTACTGAAGCTAAAGCGGTTTTAACTTTCCTCACCATCATCAACATACTCGCCATCCCTTTCACGACTGTTTTGAACGCAATGGTAATAGCGGCCGTGAAAACAAAAGCGCGGATGAGAGCCAACAAGTCTAACATACTACTCGCGTGTTTGGCCACAACCGACTTAATGGTGGGTGTAGGTGTTCAACCCGTGTTCACGGCGTTAATGATAACAATCATTCATGGTGACTACACGAGTGGATCCTGTACAGTGGAAGTTGCTACACAAAGGATCTCCAATCTTGTATGTATGGCTTCCCTTGTTCACCTTGTGTTAATTAGTGGAGAGAGATTTCTCGCAATGAAGTACACTTACGAGTACAATGCCGGCCTGGTCACTGAAAAGCGTTTGCTTATTGCTTCCGGTGTAGGTTGGCTCTTAACTCTTATTCTGTATATTCCACTTTTCATTGACAAAACTGTATTTTATCGCCTGAATAACGCTTTTGTTGCCTTATGCCTCGTTACCATTGTGCTCTGCAATATCACGGTGTTCCGCGAGGTTCACCGACACGAAAAGGGAATTTCAAGTCAGCAAATAACAGAAGAGGCAAGGCGAAAATTCCTGAAAGAGAAAAAAGCCTTTAAACTTACAGCTATCATATTTGCAATGCTGTTCCTCTGTTATATGCCTTTGTGGACATCGAGAATTATTTTAGCATTCCATCGGAATAGGATGTCTACAGAAACAGTGTATGAATGCTTGTTTGTAACCTCAACGTTCCTAATACTCAACTCGTTGGTTAATCCAGTTATCTACTCGGTCAGAGTGAGACAATTTCGCGTGGCATTTGTCGAGTTAACTTGTAGAACCGCAAACATTGCTGAGGCTGAACAAATTGAGATGCGATTGTTTGGCTCACCGAACGCTGAGGTCAGACTGGAATCAGGACAGCAATGCCACAAAACAACAAAGCGTGGAGCAGGGCAAGAACCTTAGGTACACTCTTTCTTTTTTATTAGAATATGTTTTATAAGAATACCGAGGCTGAAATTTGCCAAATTTTAAGTATATTTTAAGAATAAACCCGAGACTGAGATGATACAATTGTATATTTTTAACTAAACCGTAAAAAATTCTTTCTTTGAACGGCAAAACTGGCCAAAAAGCAACAGAAACAGCACTAGCGTATGTTCGATGCTAAGAACACTTCTACAGGAAGTTAAGTGCGCGATGTCAGGTGTTGATGCCAGCAGGCTGGCTCCAAAATTACTTAAACAGCATGCGGACACCAAATACATTCGAAAACAGAAATATCATACGCTATAATCTAAGAATATTCGCAAGAATATTTTCAGCTTAAAATCGGCAGAAAAATAGGAATATTCAGCCTCGGCTGGAAAAACAATATTCTTATAAAAAAAGTCAGTACAGTTACATGTTGCATCAAATGTATCTACTTTGTGCGGGGCGAGATGTCCCAAAGCCGAGAAGCACTAATCCAAATAAAAGTAAATTAAAGTTTCTATTGTTTTTCGTTTAAAGTGATTTTCCGGCAATCCTTTGGGGAGTTTGACGGTCGTAAAATTGAAACGAAACAAGCCTGAAACTTCACTCTAAAGTTTATAAGCTTGAGCACAATATCCTGGACACGAATAGCTCAAATTTCGTGACTGTCCTAAACAACCTCCGCGAAGATTATGGTAGTAACAACACACTTCACATAACCTGTAGCATTTATATATTTTAATAAATAATCTTTCCGCAGTCTTGTTTATGTCAAGAACACGGCCACGATACCCGCTAGAAATCAAGACAATTAAAATAGGTTACAAATTTCACCGACAGCACACGACACCGGGATCAAACTTGGTTTGCACTCTTCATTATAAAATAATGGTACTAAAAAGTATTCTGACTGGATTGCTGTCTGTTTTCTTCACAACACAACAAGAGTTATCTCCCAATAGGTGAATCGTTGCTGACGTCATTGCTTGTGATAATCTTGAACCCGGTCCTCCTTCTGTTGGCCGTGAGAAATCTGGGTGCGAGAATAGTCCCATCAGCATACGACTTGAAAAGACATCATGCTATAAATATTACATAAAAAGATTTGCGAGACTCGATAAACGGGAAAATGTTTGGCGCTTCGTGTGTAATATTGAGTACCCTGCAAGCAGTTGGTTTCTCTCAAGCCGAAGGCTACCCTACATAGCCTAGGAAAAAGTAACTGCTCTTAGGGTAAATATTGAGTGACATTACTAGCTTCCAAAAACACGCAAAATGTCTTTGTAGGGAAAGCGCTAATACATTCTGTGTAAAATTCTGTGTAGTTAAGCGCGCGAGACACAAAAGGCGTTAAATGCTTCGAACTCAAATTGTAATGACAGCCTATCGTGCAGCGCTCTCTTAGTACTTAAGAGTTGATATTCTTGTGTCTTGTACCAGATACTGTAGCGCTTATTCCAATGAGGCAACTATTGTAAACAAAGATTCACCTATCTTACATGTAACGTGTTACAGAAATGCAGAAAATAATTCCAAGAAAACGCCAGTCAAGCCTGTAGATCGCGTAGGTGGAAAAAAACTCAATGGGTAAATATAACAAAACGGCAGTGAAGAATGGTTTAGATCGGGGAGGATTGAGGGAGTGAACGATCGACGAACTTAGGCTACGTTTTTCAAGACACACCATCTGTGATGTAGGTTCTTAAAAGATTATGTCCAGTCCGTTCTGCGCAGTCTCAGCACCCAATTTTTGTGAATCTCACTCGATGGAATGCGAATCGACGTTATTCGTTACGAACCGCTTACCTTATCTTTGAGCCACTTTGAATTCTTTTTCCGACAGTGTCTGATTTTTCCAGCTACGAAGTTGTTTTACTTAGTGATGTCAGAAAGAACGAAGCATAAAACTTCGATTCCATAATGGCGGTTGACGTGAAACTTTGAACTTACTTCATGTAAGTTGTTGCGAAATGTTACGTATTGTGACGTCTTACATGGATTAAAACAAAATAATGTAACCAATATCTCAAGAGTGCGCAGTACGGACTGGGAATCATCTTAAACACATTAAGTGTTATTTCGTACCTTTCGTTGAACAGAAAGAAAATTGCTCCACACCTGTATTTTATACAGTCTGATTCACACTGCACATTTGAGGCTAAGATTTCTCCCGTATTTTCATCCCACTGTTCAACACAGGTGTGTGTTCCTTTCTTATTATCATTTCATCTCGTAATTTCAATTTACACCATCAAGAGAGAATGAAGAGTAAACGAGTTGATTCCCCATATAGACCTTATTCCAAAGTTACCCCCTCTCAACTTATTTTTAGATTTCACGCCCGGTTTCAGAAATCCCAGGAGTGTGCAGCAATAGCCAATCCTGTGACGCGCACAGGTCACGTGGAAAGCCCAATCGGCTTTACACGCATTTGAGTCCTCCACGACAAGCAACGCGCGTGGTAACACTAACCGCAGAGGTAGGTACCATGGTACTGGTTTTAGAATCTAGGTACCATGTCTAAAAATAACTTGAGGGAATACCTTGGGTCACAGGGATTACCTCTCTCTTCATCCTCTCTTAACATCATCCAATAGCTGTCTTTAAATTACATTTTGCAACACTCTTGAAGCTAAAAATTAAAGGCGAAACTCAAACTCATTTGTCTCCTGATTGCGAGCCAAGACCTTCAGTAACTTCTGAACTCAACAGTAACTAAACTGAACTAATTATAAACAAAGGAAAAGATCTGATTGGCCAAGCAGCGAGCCTTAGAAACGCAACGTGATTGGTACAAAAGAACTTTGAAATGTGCGTGCTGATGCCTTATAAGAAATTTTCATTTTCCTTAACTGTTTTTCTCTTCTCGCCGTTTTTCCCAAAGGTGCGAGAAAGGTAAAATTGTAAAACCAATTTCCTCCTTCTCTCGCTCCTGGAATTCACTTGAATCACTATGAATTGTTTCTGTGAACTACTCAAACAATGTTAACTTTGGGGGGAATGTTATTATAATTTGTTACCTACAGGAAAATCTGAACCACCTGATCTGAGGCAGTAAGAATATATTATAAAGCCCCCAAATGTGAAGAAAAAAATTCATTTTAACATCCCATAGAACTATTTAAAGAAGACTTTTATGTTGCTACACAAATTCTTAAATCATAGAAAATTGTCTGTGCGATTTCCAATTCGCCTCAAAACATGAACCCGGTTATATAATAGTAAATAATTATATCTGAATCAACAGATAAGTAAATAAGTGACTTATCACTAAATGGCAATGTCACACGTCAACGGAAGGACGTCTTCCAGACAGAATTGCTACAAATTGTCACGTGAAGAAGGCGTGAACGCAGATCAAACAAGGACGAGAGGCCAATTCCAACTTATAGCTGCTAAATTTCCACGAGTCTACGACATTTCATTCATTTCGTAGGAACACCACGCCTGCTTTCGCATGCTCTTCGCTCGTTTAACCGCGCGCTGATGATACACTCGCGAGAGAAGAACTAACAGTACCGTCCAAAAATCATTCACCAACCCTTCCCGACTCTCGAACTCGTTTGATCCGACCTATTCTTAAACAGAACACAGTTCTATACAGTTTGAACACACAGAGGTCACACGGAGGTTACCGCAAGCAACAGGGCTAAAGTCGCTACGTGCTATTTGGCTTCAGGCTTCACCGCCGGTGAACGAATCGTGAAGTAGCTAATGTTGAGATACTCGCAGATTTGGCAACCCAGTGCAAAGTTATAGCGTAACTGCTCAAAGATCACATGGCCCTAGAACAGGAAAAGAGAAAGAGCAAGTCAATGCTAGGAGGCTGTCATGATGGAAAAAAAAAAATTCGTAAGTCTATGCATGTTAAAGTAACGAGACCAAGACGGCAACGTCTATATGAACGTAAATTTTAATAAAGATATATTTTAAAATCGCGCAACATCGTCGGTGACAGAACTATCTTCTCGCTGACAGAAGGAACCGTTTAATCACCAGAGGAAGAAAGAAAAAAAGATGAGAACTTCACTGCCGTTGTTCACGTTTTCCACAAATCCCTAATAGGTGTATTTGACGTTACCAAACGTACAATACAAGTGCAGCCATGGCGCTGCTCATTAACCAGACGTTTTAGTCGGACGTGCTGCTGTCGGTTGCCGTTGTACTGTGCGTACACAACAGTACCACTACATCTATCTTACATATATGTTATCGAACAAGCGTGAGGGTCCGTATTGGAGATACATTCTCCCCCAGTTTTGCCCATCCATGACCCCTTTGGCATTTCTGCGTTTCCTTTGAGTTCCTCTACAACTTTAAGCCGTTGTTGGGATACTTGACTAATGTAAGTCCCGGGGGGTACCCCCTTATATGGGCTATAAAGGTATGTGCGGCCCCAAAGGGTATGGTTTTGCAGCCGTTTTGGCCATAAATAGGGCATGTTTTTTGCACTCTAGTCTTGCAATGGGTATAATTTTTAGAAGAAGCTACCTTTTCATCATTATCGATAAGACTATCAAAAAAAGCCCTTCACAAATTATGTTTACGACAACCGTGTACATGCCGCAACGGTCATAAATAGGAAATCGAATTTTTGGTCAAGTCTTAAATAGGGTAGGAAAAATCGCAGATCATGAATGGGGTTGGGGTTTTGGGAAGCGGGCCGCACACCCTCACCCGATTTTTCTGGGAGTATCCACCCCCCCCGGGTGTAAGTCCCGCTAGATAATCAGTGCTAAATTTGCGTAAAACGAGGTAACCTTTCCTTTTTATTTCACCAGTCATAGAGTAAAGAAAGGTCGTACTCACCATCATACACCACAGTAAAACGTGCTCGTTGAAAGGCGAGCCATAATAAATGTTAAGAATCTGAAGTATTCCTCCAATCATTGTGGAATCTTTGAACTCTACAGGACTCCGTGTCATGCAGCCAACCTAGTAACAGTGATAAAGACGCACTATCTAATGCTGCGATACACTTCACAGAGTTCCTAACACGCCCTTAAATCACTTGAAGATCGTTGAGTGGGAGGTAAAGCGGCCGGCACGCGCTTCGTTCTCAATATTCGCGCGGCCTATTTTACCGCTTGCTTCTTGCAGAAAATACAATAGGCAGGCCCTGTTTTTCAAAAAGTCCCTGCAAACACTTGAAAAACTGAATATATCAAACTTAAACTTGTTCTCAGGTATAACTTGGCGTTTTGCAATATTTTATTAACTTTACAGTGCTAACTTTAACGAATTGACGTCAGTTTGTTTTTTACAATGACAAATTGACCGCTCGTTGAAGCATCGCATAAATTATAAATTCATGTGTCTGTCCGCTTATTGACAATGAAATTTAGCCAATGAGCGCACCAGAATTTCTGCAGTTATCGTAAAAATAATAATCGAGGCTCCCACGGAATTCGATGCTATGAACTACCGCCTCTGATCAACACGTATATGAGTATTACAGAGGCCTTTTAATGATAATAGCAAAAGTAAACAGAGTCACATGTGTACCACTTCTGAGATAGAAATGTTAGAGAGTCGCGTTGGTTTTCCAAAACAGTGAAACAGTGGCCATGTTAATGTCCCAAAATTTTGTTCCAATAAATTTGCATGGCTCTGGCTACATAAGTGGAAACGCTGTGTGGTTTCTACCAGTGTGCAATGAAACTTGTGTCCGATAGCCCAAGGCTAGAGGATTTGCCGTTTGCCAATACATTCTGCTAAGTTTCTTGGGAAAGGTTTTGAGGAAATTCAAATCCCAGTATTACTGTCAAGTGATGAAATTTTAGATGGCTAGTGAGAATGACTTTTGGGTTAGTACATCATTGTAACACCTTGCCCCCAAAATTGATATTCTTTTCACCCCGCTCTGCGTGAAATTTTTGAAATCATAAAGGGGAATTCCTTTTTCAGCAACAAATGTTAATGCACCAAGCACCCAGGAATATGGTCAAAATCTTGAATTTTGACTTTATGTTAGGATTAGAATCAATGAAGATACAGTGGAATGCTGGGCCACACAAATCTTGCCGTATTAATGGGGTGGCTGTATTAAAGGCATTCTTCAAAATAAGAAAATGACGTGAATGAGCTTTTGTTTGCGCCAGCATAAAGTGGCTGTCATAACTAAGCGGCCATATTAACAGTGTGGCCGTAAGGCGGGGTTCCATTGTATCTTGATGGCAAATACTAACAACAACCAAACACAACAATAATATTGAATACTAGTTATTACATACCACTAGCTTGATGGTGATCTTGGAGCACGCCATGCCAAATGCCATGACAAACAAACACGGGTGTTTTTGAAATATATTTATAGATGAGATCCTAGCAGTAAGATATGCCATATATAGCATGACAGCGATGGGAAATAACGGAGATAAAACACTGGTTCCCTGAAGAGGAAACAAGTATATACTCAATGAGAATGCTCAATTCACTGGCTTAGCCATCATGGTATATGAATTATAACATGCTAGATACAAATTTTAATCTGTATTTTATTTTAGTTTTCTATAAATGGAGGCCCTATTAGCCCTATAAGTGCCCGGCCCTTAATGAAATCCCATTACGAGGACGATTTCGCCTGCCTGGTTTCAGACCATCTAGAGAAAAGTTTTTCTTATAAAGAAGTTCAGTTGGGAAAACTGTGAAAACAAGTTGCCTCCCGGAAGAAAACGTGAATAAAAGATTTTCTGATTTTAACCTTGATGAATTGTTAAATGAGTCTGAGAACTTAACTTCTCAAACGAGTTCATTAATAATTCATCAAGTTAAAACAAAGAAAATCACAACCGTGAGGGAGGTTTGGATACGTGGTCTTAATTAGGGCAGATTTTGACGATTTTACTTCTCTGTTTACTCCTTAGTTTTTGTTTCGATTGAGAAGGCATATCAAACACTCGGGACATTGTTTATTGGCTATCAAAACACCCCGAATTTCGTCAAAAATACTCCGCTGCGAATCGTATTTTCAACTCTCTTCTCGGTGTTTAGATATCCCGATGAAACACTGTCTCTTGTGTTTGATATATTACTTCTTTATACTAGTAGTAATCGTAGATTAAAGAGTGTAGGTTTGGTATGTTAAAGAAGCAAAAATTCCGGAAACGACATTTTGTGCCTGAGCTGTTAGGTAGGCGTGAAATTGGCCTCCCTCCAGCAGGGGAAAAAACAAATGAATTGATCGCAAAGCACGTGCATACGAGAGGGTTTGTTCTCGTTTATACGTGTATTACCTAATATTAGTTACGACCGGTCAGTAAAAAACACGGACTGCAGTTGTTAGCCCGCATTTAGTCCGCAGTCCGCGTTTTATAGAGGTTTTACACGGCAGCCATGTTGCATGGCAAGAACAATAGATTCTTTTTCCTATGGGAAAAAATGTTCTTTGTAATTCAAAAACATTTACATTGTTCGTGCCATGCAACATGGCTGCCGTGCAAAACCTCCATACCTGAGTCCGTGTTTTATACCCAGTCCGCAGTCCGCAGTCCGCAGTCCGCAGTCCGTAGTCCGCAGTCCGTAGTCCGTAGTCCGCAGTCCTTATTTTATACTGACCGTGTAAATTGACACAAACGATGCCTGTTCCGTCGGTATGCAAGATGACGTGCTTTTATTACCAAAACAAAGACAATTATTCTGTTCACGAACACAACTTTGGATCACCTTGGCTTTGGGGGAACAGCTACAGGGCATTTTCACTTCCGAAACAATGAAACGGAGGACATGTATGATGTTGGTGTACCAAAGCAATCCTGTGGGAGTTGAACTCTTTTCCTATGTAAACACTTTCGTTGGGTTTATGTTACATAACTTGCGCACAGAAATCTAGGCCAGCGAAGTGAAACTACACATTTCTTCCTTTGATTTATTCTGCAGAAATCAGTGTTGGTTTTGGTCGAAGAGTAGAGGGTAGAAAGTACATGGACGAACATGGAGATCACGTCATTCGCCCTTGAAGAATTTTTTTGGGGCCCAAATTGGTGTCCATAGAAAGATACATACACAAAAACTCTAATTTTTCCGCATTACGCGATTAGAACTGCATTCTCTCGAACGCAAACATTTTTCTTTCAAAAATGATCAAACCAGGCAGGTAAATAGGTCTCACAGTCAGCCTGGCCCTTTAAGTGGCTTTTTTCAGTTTTGGGGAGAAAAAGGCCCAGGCCTTAACTCTTTATAAAATGTTCCAAGATGTTCTCTAATGTAGACCACAGATGAACGTCCCAGACAGCCGGACAATTGTGAACCTCTTCGATAACTTTATATTAAAAGTGACCTCGCGTTCATCTTGACTTGCGTCCACCAAGTGTCACGCAAATGAATCACGTGAATAAAGCGTGTGTTTTGATTGGTTGACAGTCAACAACACATGTTTGCCAGTCGTTCACACGTCAGACACGAGTTTACCAACACGAAAAAGTTGGTGAAAAAGTTGGCGAGAATAGAGGCAAGTTCTATTTGTCGCCAACTGTTTGCAAACGCGTTGGCCGACTGTATTTGTGCCGTACACACACACCAACTTGAGTTTGCCAACACGAGTTTGCCAACTTTAATTTGCCGTGTGAAGGCCGCTTCACACTATCATACAAACCATACAACCATCATACATGTTCTAAGAAACATCATACATGTTCAACATACAAATAATAAAAAAAAACTTCAATAATGGACCACCAAGTACTTAAGGGAAGACTGGGCATTAGTAATTTAAATGCAATTTTTCTCAAAAGCTATTGTTGTCCTGACCCCACCTCTCAATTTTGCAAATTAGAAACTAGCTCTGACTAAATATCTTAAATACAAAAAAATTTTAGCACCACTTTCACCGAAAGAACAACAAAATCCCGTGGATAGAACTCCTTGAAAACCACATTTTGTGACCACGATTGTTAGCAACCCAAAAGTAAAAAGCAAGTTAGTGTTAAACATTTGCAAGTCTTCATAGCTCATGTAAGTATCTAGTTATCAACTGGTATGCAGTGAAAAGACTTAGAAATAAAAATAACTTACTGCTACTGTGGAACCATTCTTGCCTTTCCCTCCTTCATATATTTGAATAAAAATTGTGGAAAGAGCATAGATACTCCCAAGGACAGAGACTCCAAAGACAACTGCTTTTAATGAGACATTGAAGTAGGGAACCTGAAAAAGGGGCAACAAAATATTATTATTAAAACATAAATTTATTAAAACTATGCATGCTGTGATTGGTCAATTTAGCACACTGAATTCTACTGTACAGCCAGCTGAAATTTAAAGTTGTTTTTGTCACCAAAAGGTTTCATGATTTATTAAGTTTTCTCAAATGCTAGAGCAAGTAAAAGTTTAAATCTTTCTTTTACTTTAAATTGTGTATTAAAGTGTGCTTTCATGATTTCAATTTGACCTATTTTGCTTTTGACGTGTCAGAAATTTGAAGCCGTTCTATGTAAACAGAAATCATTCCTGAACCTGTCAGACACATATTAGAGATATAATAAATATATTACTAACCTCGTCTTCTTGGTCCATACTGTAACTTACAGAACCTTGTTACTTTCCATTCGATTTATTGTCTGCACGCCTCACACTTGGGCCATAAATCGAAGGGGAAAAAAACTTGGTCTGTAACATACAGTATGGACCTTAAACTCAGTTAGTGCAAGGTACAATGTATGTATGTTCTCCTTACAGGGCAAAAAGACACACCCCTCAAGTCATGGTCTAAAAGAACTGACAGAACCTACAGTGTATAGTGGAGAAATGCCTCACCTGCAAGGACCATACTTGAACACCAAAAATTCCTGAGATCATGAATATAACCATACCAGCAATTTGAATTTCTGTTACATCAACTCTGTAAAGATGAACCACACCACAGAAAAGAGCATTTACTAAATTCCCATTTCATTGATTAAAACTAAATGTTGATTCAATGTTACAATTAAACAAGCGAACTATAGATTTAGCCAAGCCTAAAAGCGGAGCTCCTGATTACAATAGTTAACCATGAATGAAAAGAGGATTTTTTCCCCTGGATCAGAAACTCAAAAAATGATAAATTTTGAGCATGTGATTGTTCAGCATGTGATTTCACTATTTTTTCCTAGTTACATTTCAACAAACCATACCTAATAAGAGTACCTAAGATTGTACAAATTACATATGCGATATATCAGGGACTTTCCAAGAGACGATTGTGCAAGGAATATGTCAGAAGAAAAGTCAACAAAGCGTCACTCAGGGTTTAATTTGTGCTGATTTTTTGCCTTTGCATGTACTCCCTCACTCTTCCCCAGAGTGAGAGGTACCTAGGGTAATGGTACTACTCTCTTATTTTTCAAGGAATGAGGCTTGGCGTATGGACGTATGGACGGACATACGTACGTACGGACAGTCACATGACAACCAAAAGTTTTGAGATCGATGGGTTACCAAATTTTCTGAGGTGTGGGGCTCCACTCGCTCGCTTCCTGCTACAAAATATGAGATTGTACCAGAATTCCTAAACAGAGCAGCTGGGACTGGCTTTCGATAAAAATTATCCATAAACTCAGGATTCTGTCTCCTTTTGGATAGGACACAATTAATTTTATTTATGATTTTTATAAAATAAATAGTAGTTAGACATATAAAAGCAAGGAGTGACACTAGTGACACTTGTTACGTGTCAGGGTTTAATTTGAACCAATATTTTGCCTTTGCATGTATTCCCTCCCTCTCCCCCAGAGTAAGAGGTACCTATGGTAGTGGTACTGTGGCCCCATGCCCCACTGGGGGCAATAAGGATTGATGATGATGGTAATGGTACTACTCTCTTATTTTTCAAGGAATGAGGCTTGGTGTACGGAAGTATGGACAGATGTATGTACATACGGACAGTCACGTGACAACCAAAATTTTTGAGATTGATGGGTTACCAAATTTTCTGAGGTATGCGGCTCCACTTGCATGCCTTCAGTGTGCAGGAGCTCCACGACAAAATACAAGATTGTACCAGAATTCCTAAACAGAGCAGCTGGGACTGGCATTCAATAAAAATTATCCATAAAATCAGAGTTCTGTCTCCTTTTGGATAGGACACAATTAACTTTATTTATGATTTTTATAAAATAAATAGTAACTAGACATATGAAAGCAAGGAGTGACACTTGTTAGCTTCAAATGAATTGATGGGGAAGATAACATATAGTAATGCCAATTAAAACTATGCTAGCTACGATGTGATAGCTATACCTGGACCCAGCATACTTACGTTCCAAATTTAATAGTTCCTGAAACATAGGCCTGCCAGTGGGCACAATAAAACATGAAAACTGCCATGAACGACATGTAAAACATCCAGACAGGGTGTGTGCCGAGCTCTACTGCTACGCAGACAGCTAAGATCATAATCACCATGGAAGCAGAGTCACAACCATGGTCAACTAATTCTCCCAGTGGCGATGCACTTTTTGTACGCCGTGCTTGCTTACCATCTACAGCATCAAGGGATTGGTATACAAACAATCCAATAGCACTCAGTAGAAAGGCCCACCATGGTGCCTAAGTAAATATAAATGATTATAAATAAATATTTCCTTTAAAAGTCTCTTCCAATCGTATAGATCAGAAGGGAAGACTGCTCATGAGTTTAACATGAAGTAACTAGCAATAGGCAAAATGGTACCTCTTCTATTTGCATTTGTTCAGTGTTCCAGTTAACAGGGCTTGAAAAAACTGAATTGCAGCTTGCCTTTGGACCTGCAGCTCTCAAATTTTGCTTGCCCTGGGCAAGTATTAGATTACTTTCTTTTCTTTTTATTTAGTTAGCAGACGACATGCCCAAGCCCTTGCCGATTGGGCAAATGAGAACAAAAAGCTACTTGCCCAACAGGAAAATCTACCTGTCCCAAACAACCAGATGGCACTTTTTTGAGCCCTGGTTAAGAGAGGGGTGTTAAGTCAAAAGCCTAACAAACTAATAGGAAACTTCCAATGATTCAGGCCATTTCTGTCGACCAGTTTCAGTTCCCTTTTGGCAGCCTGCCTTTTAAACATATCTGGTACCCTGATTGGTGCTATTATTTCCAGGAGAAACAAAAATAATTACAACAAAGTGGGCACAAACTGTACTGTGTACACGCTTAATCATCAAATTGTGTTGACATGGTCCCAACGTTTAAAATGTGTGGATAACTTTGTGTCAAAAATTCAGCCAAGAGATGATTGCTAGGAAAGGCTCTTACTAGACTTAAGAAAATGGTGGGTGCACCCATCTTGTATGTGGCAATTTTTAGAATTGCTCTGTGTACCAAAGCTCTCCAATAATGAACTTAATAGTATTACTAAAATGGCTATATTTCATTTTCAAAGTCACAGTGGCTAGAAAATTCTAAGATAATTATTTTTTACAGTCATGATTCATATAAGCTGAATAGTGGATTTTTACTGCCCAAACATTTTCTGTCTTGTTTACAAAATACTATGGGTGTGTTTCTTTAAAAAAATCCAAGATTGGATTCTTAAATCCGAAACGGATTTTCGTTTCTTTAGTAAACAGATCAATCCAAGATCACTTGGATCATGGTGCATCAAAGGAACCAAAGAATCCACTCTGGGCGAGGATTCTTTGGTTACTTCGACGCACCATGATCTGAGAGATCTTGGATTGATCTGTCTAGAAAAGAAACACAAAATCCGTTTTCGGATTTAAGAATCCAATCTTGGATTTTCTTAAAGAAACGCACCCTACTGTATGTTTAATTTTTGTTGATCATTGTAAGTTGTTGCTCATACTGGCAACACTGTGCAGACTTATTTCTGTCTCCTGTTTTGCTCATTGTTGTAGGAAGGTTAAGAAGGATTCTTCTCAAAGTTTGAGCAATAAGTGCAAACCTTATTTACTAAAAATCTACTCATAGCACAGTAACTTTTGGAATACTATTTAAAACAACTCACTTTAGTTAATTACTTTTCTCTAAGTGACCCTGCGATTAAATTCTCAAGCATTCTCAGGAAAGTTAACGTCAAACCTTGTAAGAATGCTTAAAGCATGTGTTATTGGTTGATTCCAGAAAATACCTATATCCTACCACAGCGGCATGAACATTTTTAACCCCACTTGCCTTCGGAAATTCCAAAAAGCTCTATCCCCACATATCCTCCGAATTCCAAAATTGTTAACCCCTCCTCCCCTCCAGAATTTCCAATTTTTTTCAGCCCCTTCGTAATTCCTGTTTGACCACCTTAAACTTCCACTGAAAGGGAAACTTGTGCTTTTTTCCCCCTCCAAGAAATGCTCTCAATTTTCGGTCAAGCAAACAAGCAACTCAAGTTTGTTAACATTTAATAAAGTATACTGTAGCTTTCCCTTCTAAGTGTTATCTTGAAGTTGCTTACCACCAAATAAGACCTTTTGTTTTCAGTTCATTAGCTTCATATTTTCAGGAGAGTAGATCATATTGATACCAGTGCAAGACAAAAGTGAAGTTCACGATCTGCCATCCCCCGCCATATTGAAAATTGTGTTCATTGAGGAACTGCTGACCACTAGTAATGCAGCTTACAAATCTGTCAGGCATTCCATTTGGAAATGAGAGACTGGTGTGAGTTTTTCTCATGGATCGACAATTTTAGATCGGAAAGAAACACACCCTGCGAGCAGAGCCTCTTTTATCTCTTTTTGCTTTATCTTTTATTTCATGGTACAAAGCATATGTACTGTAAGAAGAGGCTCTGCTTGTAGGGTGAAAGCAACACAGACTTGTTTTATATTTTATTAATCTATCAACTAATTCATCAACTTTAAGGCCTCTTCGATGTGGAGCTCACCACACAATCCATCTGCTCACTTTTCCGCAAGGTTGCTACCAACTGTCTGATTGATCTTTATCCTGCTTCAGTGGTCGGTTTGTGCTTGATCATTTACAAACTGGAAAAGTTATCAGATCAGCGATTTCAAGCGAAGCTTTCGTCGTCTTCCTCCTCTGGAAATTCAGAGCTGAAACGCCCCCATGCGTTTCAAATTCCAAACTGCATTACCCCCCATGCCTCCAGAATTCCAGTCCAAGAAACCCTCCCCCTCTCCCTCGAAATTCCAAGATGTCGCCCATGGTATGGTATGGATATTTTCTGCAATCACCCATTGTGTTTTTAACTAACGCAAAACGTCTGTTTTAATTGAAATATGGATAACTCCAAGTTCAATTTTCCCCCACGGGGACTTGAGAGCTTAAGTTTCGATAAGTTCTTCATACCAGCATTCAAGATATTACCATGCCATGAGGTTTCTTTCCATGGTAACTTCATTTTGCCATTATTGCTCGAACGTTCTGTGGAAATCATCCTAATCAGTTGGTTGTACTATTATTGTAAGAAATTGGTCAGGTAAACATGTTGGACCAGATCAATCCAGACAGTGGAATTGGCTTTAAGAATGGTTGCTAGATGACACAGAGAAACATAGTGAGTCTCTCTTGATTTGGCCTGTTTTTGAGAGGAATTTTAACCTTCAAATGGGTAAAAGATTAAATTTCCTCCAATTTTTTTTTGTTTTATGATCTGAGTCAATCCAAGATGATCTGAGTTGATCCGGCCTGGACTGGATAATTTTTTTTAATAAGATAATTTTGGTTGGTCAGTTGATGGAAAATCAAACAAGTTACCAGGGTGGTCTAACGGGAGAAGGTTCCACCCACTGCCTTGGACAGCGCATTTGAGACTCTACCAAAGATCTCAACAGCTGCATGTATAATTTCAGAATCATGAAACTTTAAAATTGTTATTACTTCAGACAGGACATAGGCAAATGATTTGTATATTTTTCCATTCTTAATTGACACCTTTATCATGTTAACATCAAGGACTTGATGGTGAGCTTAAACATTCTGATATTAATTAAAAGTTCTTCTCGCTATAGACCGGTTATTAATATTCTATTAGTCCAATCAAACGAGAATCGACAACTGACAAAGTAATAAATTGACAGAGAAGGTAAATAATTTTTGGGTTTAAAATGTCACAGCTGGACGTAATGGCGTACAATACAGCGATAAAAGTATTAGCAGTCTTTTATATTTAACAATATCACGGTTTGATTTCCTCACGGGAATTGCAAGTCAAGGACACCAACCAAGTAAAAATAAACCGAAGGAAGTTACAAATAAAATTACTTCCACAAACGACTGCTTTTTAGCCAAGATGCAAACAAACTATCGTAATACTCTGCAAACATGATGACACCAAATCTTTTACCATACAAAGATGGAGTAAGTCATGCAAAAAGTTTAATTTATCTTTAATACCTAAAAGTACAATTTGCAGAAATGACAAATTAATTGTAGCGAGCGATAAAAGATTTTGAAATAAGAGACAAGTTGTGGTTTCCAGTGAGAGCAAGCAATATTATGATTGTATTGAATTGCGTCAAAAAAGCAAGAAACAAAGCGAAAACAAAACATTCATTATTCACCAACAACACCACGAACATATTGTTGAATGCATCATAACTCATTACGACTTCACGAAACGTTATTTCAAAGGCAAATCTCACCTCTCCCTTGGCTTGAGGGCAATACCATATTAACAGAAGAGACGTGACTACATTGATAACGAATCCAGAGATTGTGATAGTATTTGGTGCAAGCCACAAAGGAAGTTGTTCCACCAACCAGCGCCAGTAGACTTGAAAGCAAGGGTCCAAAATTGATACACACTGCGCGCTGTATTTGTGTTCCGAGAGGCGTTTCAGCTGCCTCTCGTTCAAAACTGAAATCATTGCCATTCCTCCTGATTAGCGGCCGTTTTTCCTACACTGAATTTGCTACCAAACTGAAGATTTCAAGGCCGTTCACGCCACGTAAATATATAACATCCAGTGATACTACATGTAAATGTATTTTATACTTCGCTGGTTTCATTCTTAGAACACGTGAAGGCCTGGTTGCGTAATTTGTTGGCGCGGGCCCTAAGTTAACCGGACGTCTATTCATCCCGTCATGTTCGGTTCATGTGTTTTTACGACTTTTGTGTCAAATTCTAAGACGTTTAACATATACACAGGCTCTTTGTTACTCACACAAGTCACTGCAAAGGAGAGACGATTAAAAGATACTTAAAACTGTTAAAAAGATTCCGGTTCGATGATTCGATGTAATTTCTGTTTACACAGGTTCTTTTTGTTATGCAAAGTCTGACAGCATACATAAGTCTGAGGTTGAACGAATTTACATTTGCACACGTCTCTTGACAAGTTAGTTTAAAAGCGATGGCCCAATCACTTATGAAGCAAGTTCCTGTTTTAAAATCGCTGATTCCACGGCAAGGGTAGATCGAGCAAGATTGGCGTGCAAAAAACAAGCAAGTAAGTCGTTGGATTTACCTAGTACTCACGAATAATTCCTTCTACACATAAACAGACATTATAAACAACTTAGAAATTGTTCTGAGTGATCAGACCACAAATCTTTTAGTTATTCGTCGACAATCATAGCTTTATGGCATGATAATGCTAGGTGCACAAAACTTCGCAAGTATCGGATCACCACGAATCCTGATTCGCCATGGGTAGGGGAAAGAAATAAGCTCTTAAAGTTAATCAGGGTTTTAGCTTGTCGGTGCTAAGGCTTTGACGGGTTAATAACGTTTATTTATTGACCCCCACACATTAAGTGAAGTGAAGACTCCGGAAATAAATCCATTCAAAGAACGAGGAAAAATTCATTCTTGATTGTAGTAGTGTTGTTACGCTGATAGTTACTTAGAATGCATAACTGACAAGATCGTGAAATATTTTATTCATGATCCATCTTATGTCCATCTCGAGGTTTCTAACGAGTGAGCCGATTAAGGAGAAGGTGATACTAGGTGAACTTATCGGGGCGCTTTGTCTAGTTGCAAGGTCGGTGGTTGTCAGTCATTCACTTCCTTAGCGAGGTTCTTCCAATGCGAAAGTTTTACTTCAGTCAGAAACCCCGGAAGTCAGTTTGCTTCGGTTGCGTGTTCGCCTTCTTGACCTTCCCGCTGTCTGCTAAAACCCGCTGACACTGACCACAGTTCCTTGCGGCAGCTCAGTCCCTCACGAATATGAGTCACACACCCGCGGTCACACAGTTCATCTTGTCTACGTAGTTTGCTACATTCATGAAATTTCGGTTTTCCGAACCTTACTTCAAGCTGTCTTTTCTTCTTTCTCCTTACACAGATAAACTTGAACCACTCTTTTCTGTCCCACTTTACGTTCGTCAATCATCCACATCGGTTTGACATCATAATGCCTCCTCGGGTCCTGACTTTTACTTAAAGATCAATAAACCAAGCATTCCAAATTACAAATGTAGCTCTCTAGGTGTATTGAAATTTGAACCCCCATCGTTTTTCTCGACGTCTATAATGTACAGTGCTGTTGGATCTGGTCAAAAAGTTAACATGCAATATAGACTACTAAAAGGTGGTTTTGAAGAGTTTTGACAAAACAAGATTCCTGTAGTCCAGTCCTGACCCTCTCTCTGTCACGCAACGCTACTCAGAGAGGGCCAGAACTGAAATAAGATTCCCTGTGATAGAAAAACGTGACATCCCAGTATGATTTAACTTATATTCAATTAAATTGCTCAAACGAAGTCAAACGTAAGCTTTGACTCTTTCTCTGGAGGGCTGATGTGGCTTCCTCTTTAGCCTGCGTGGAAGACCGTAGAAAGGGAGGGAAAGGGCGGGAGGATCGAGCACTACCATCACGCGCTTGGCACGTTCGATCCTTCCGCGCTTCGCGCGCTCGTTTTTTCCACTTTCCCTCCCCTTCGGACGCCTATCACGTAGGCTACTTTCTCTTTAAAGATTGTAATTCATTCGCTCATGTTTATTTTTGTTCTCTTTCTTCCGTAGTTCGTCCAAGAATGGCGGATCACATCAGACGAGTCCTCACGGGAGATGTGACAGATCTACCGCGAAAAGAATCAAACATAGTTCGGATATTCACCAGCTCAACATTCACGGGTATTTATTATTGTCAACCATCAAAAATGACAATGAAATTCAATATTGGACGTTGTTGGGAGACCATCAACCAGTTCTGGTAGGCTCGATTTCCGCCGCTTTCTCGAGTTCGGTCTACATTTCTCCCAGAGAAGAGTTCTGGGGAGGAGCGCAAGCTCCTTTCCCGAACAGCAGCCGGTAATCGAGCCTTCAGTTCTGGCGACCTCTGATATATAGTCAGGTGATTTTCAGTTTGCAAAACGTGCCATTTTACGTTGCATTTTGATATGCATGTACCAGCAGTCTAGGGTGTGCATAAGATCAGGATTTTTTCTCTCTTTTTTTTTCTATTCCTTTTTTCTGTTTTCCATTTCATGCCCCCATGTGGATTATTTAATGGCAATCCCATATAAGACGTGTATAGAGCTATTATTGTTGTTATTGAGTCACTACAAAAATTTTGAATTAACCGGAAAAGAGCCAAAACAGTGATCTATTCATAAATACGTTAAATGAGTCTGGAAGAAATAATTCGTTTGCAGCATCTTTTACATTAATACCTTGCTGTTATTACTATAGTTATCAAAACGTGATTCTCAGTTCGAATTTATAGCAAATACTTAAAGAAAATCAGTTGAGAATCTGAGAAAACCGAAACCTCGCAAAGATAAATCAAACAAGATCGCATGAAAGCGAAATTTGGCAAGGACGCATTGTCTCGATAACGCGCCAATGCCGTGTTCAGATAAAGGTGAGGGCCTTCCAGGGGCTTTGGGGAACAGGGAACACGATCATTTATTTCAAGGAAACAAGGGATAATTTCGGGAGTAATTAGTGGGAACAATTGTTATCTGTACTGTTAATTAAACATGTTAAAGGGAACCTCCTCGGGGTGGCTTACCTGGTTAATGAAGAATGAAGGCAATCACCACAGCATTTTATCTCGACTCACCTCAATACTCAAAGTAAATACACCATTTTACTAATGCTAGCTCCAGTCCCTTGTGGGGCCAAAATTTGATCCCACAAGGGAAGCCCCCACAAGGGAATGGAACTAGGAAATAATTGCATTAGCAAAATGGTCTATTGTAATGTCTGTATTCCTGCAGATACCACGGAGGAGAGGAATCGTCTCATGCGGGATGTTTATCCGAACCTGCGGACTTACTGTCAGCAGCGAGGATTGGAATTTCAAGTAGTTGACATGAGGTGGGGTGTGCGAGATGAAGCCACCGCTGACCACAAAACCAACGAATTGTGTACGCAGGAGATTAAGAACTGCCAGAGGCTTACACCTGGTCCAAACTTTGTGGTACAGTCATGTTTTGTCTATCTAAAGAATGGAAGTTACTACCGCACAGTTGCGTGTAGAAAGGTTTTTAGCCGGTTTATTCGCGAGTAAAGTTAAAAACGAATCTCATAATAACTGTTAGTATCACTCAACTAGTGGACTAGTGAGATCTGCTCACGCTAGTTGTAAGCTTACGCGTATGTTTTTGCGGTTGTTCTGACTTAAGAATATAGCAAGAAAACTCTCTACTCTGGTATCGAGTTAATTTGTGAGTTTTTCAGACAATGGTTCATCATAACCAAAACCTGT